TATATCTATCTGTATATGTTTCCGTGTCATTCTTTATATTTTATTAATGACACATCAGTTACACATATTAATGGCTTCACTGTGATATTTCCGTGCATACATAGCATGTTTTTTCTCATCTCTATCTCTGTCTGTCCCTCTCTCTCATGTGTACTATGATTCGGCTTACTTCCATGGCTTTTTCTGTCGCTAGTTTTCAATAATCTGTGATGTATTTTGTCTGATTTTGTTGGTATTTATATTGTTTGGGGTTTATTGGTTTTCTTGGATCTGTAAATTGATAGTTGTCATGAAATTCGAACAGATTTTGCCCGTTATTTCTTCATTAAATCTTTGTGTGCCCCCATACACATACTTTCTGGAGCTACATTTCCTCACATACTGGACCATCTGATGTTGTTCCATATGTCACCAAGGCTTCATTTATATTCTGTGCATCCTTTCCTCTCTGTGCAACAGTGTTGTGGGTTTTTGTTGCACTGTCTTCAAGGTCACCGCCCGTCCCCCGCAGTCTCTTACCTGTGACACCTCCCACTCTTCACGCCCAAGAAGCAGCCCCTAGTTAGGGAGTTTTCCCTCAGTGCTGAGCTGTAGCCGTTTAGGGGGAGAGTTGATGCAGAAGTGAACTTTTTCTTTTTAACTGTTTCAGCTCAGCTGCTCTCAGGTTTGTTCTTTCCTAGGGTAGTGCAGCTTGTTACCTGGGTTCTGGAATCCCCATACAGGTACTTTTGGTTCTTTTATCTCCATCAAACCAGTGTTTCTGTGTGGAAACAAAGGCCGGGACTCCTAGTACACCATGTTGCTAAAGACTAATGATATTTTATTGGATATTTTACACACTGAATGTTAAAATTGTAGAGTGTGTGGATTTTATTATTCTTCTTTACAAGTGCTGATTTTTCTTTAGTTAGGTTGATGAGAAACAAACCTGATTATTGATCTATGAAAACTTGCTATAGAAGTACCTTTTGTTTCAGGGCCTAAAAAGTGTAGCCCCAGTAATATGGCATAGCCTTTCTTGGGTGTTTACTATCTACCATGGGTGTTCCGGGAGGTTGCTTCACTCTGTCAGAACTAGAACACTTCCTGCTTGTAACTTCTGGAATTTTTTAGCCTACTACTCCTTGATAATTGCTTTGGAGAGTGCTAGGGGTGCACCACTTAATGTTAAGTCATGAATCAAGGGCACTCCATATAGATTTTTGGTGCTGTTTTTCTTTGTAACTTCTTGGACCCTCTGCCTTGAACTCCAGGAAGCTCAGTTTCTCCAAACTTTGATTGCTGTCACTTTAGCTAAGCAAAATCACTGTATTTTTCCTTGAGTTCCTGTTAGTGGTCTGGAAAATGTCTCCAGACAGAAATTCTAGGCACTTAGCACCCACCATCACTTTTCTCAGAGTTGCTTTCTGTGTGTGTTCTGTCAGAAAGTGATTTTTTCATATAGTTTGTTCAATTTTCTGTACTTTTCTCCTGTAGCAAATTTAACCCACTGTAGTTATTCCACTGTGGCAATAAGCAAGTCTTCTTTTTTGTACATTATGACATTTCATCATTTCATACTGAATTATTTTATTATCATATTACAGCAGTGGCTTCAACTTTCAGGAATAATTTATTGGGAAGAAAGAATTTTTTTTAGAAAGACCTTGTAAACACACATGCTAGAGTGGGAAGAGTTGCGTGAACATTTAGAATATCTTGGACATTAGCTTGTAAGTTTTTCAGAAGAGATTATGAAGGCGGGTTATTCATTGAATTGATTAAAAGCAATATATCTAATAGAATTACTCTTATACCAGATGGTTTTGAATTGATGTAGCTTTTCTTTTGTGGAACTTTAAGGTTTTTAGAAGGCAGCTCATAAATTCTGCTTTCCAGGAAGTTTTTCCTGATCCTCTCTTTTCTATCTTTACTTGTTCCTTTGTCACTTCGTCTTTTTTTCTCTACTCACTGTGAACTTGAGGGTAGGGATGACCTTATTCTTATTTTAACTTTAGAACTAATGTGCATATTACAGCTCTTCAAGAATGGGCTGAGTGAATGCTGTCTCTTACCTCATGATAAATGGCTTGGATCTCCATTTTAGCAGCCATCAAAGTTTAGTTGTGGGAGTCTCTTTTAGTTACAGGGCGCTCTTTAGAGGGAAATAAAGCAGTGATCTGATTCTGGTCCAGTGCACTACTTGGTCAAGGTTGAAAAGAAATTCAGACTAAGATCAAAGGATGGCTTGTGAACCATGTTTGAAAGACACTTAAGTCAATGTGATGCTTACTGTTGCTTTTTAAATATGTATTTTAGGCTTTATCATTTTAAAAATCAATGATTGTTTTTATTTATAACTTCAAATAATTATTTGCCTTTATTAGTGTTTAGAAAAAAAATATATATATATTTTAAAGAGTAAAAGAAGGACAACAAAGCAGTAGGAGGATACACCAGATTACAGACAAAGTGGTAGGACATTGTCAATGGTTGTTATTTTACCTATTGGTATCTTCAAGGTAGTTTCTCAGGAAAACAAATAGACAAATAATAGTGAGTTACAGACAGAAATGATACGAAATTATCAATGGTTGTTGTACTATACCCTGGTTTCTCCCAAGTGGTCTCTAGGGAAAACAGAGCTATACATGAGTGATCAATCAAATAATCATTGACTGTTCTCAATAGTTGTTGTTAAAAACACATAGTAACAAACATACATCCATTTACGAAATAGCATAGGAACAATACAAACATTACATAGTTATGGACAGATTAATAGGAAATCATCAATGGCTGCTGCAATACATGTTGGCGTCCTCAAAGTGGTTTCTCAGGAAAACAAAGATATGCAAGAAAGATCCAACAAGTAGTTACAGCCCAAGGGTTGTGAAAAATAGCGGATTACCTCCTCATCAGTGACTCCCCTCACTGAGGTGTGACAGCTGGAAGAAAGGCCAGGACTGAAAAGAAGACCTGAGAGCCCAGCACCAGTGTTCAGGAATGGGCCGACCACTTTCTCCTCTAGACTCATGATTACGCGGGGCTCCTCCTTCTCCATGAAGGCGGTTCTACAGAATCTGAATATTGGGCACCCGTGTAATCCATGAAGTCTCGGTGCAGACTTCTCCAGCGCTCCACTCGCTCCTCCCCCGCAGCCCGCACAGTTAGGGGAAAAGTGGCCTCCAGGGGGTCTCCCCGGGTGTTGCGCAAGGTCCTCCTGGTTTCCAGCTCCCGAATGGCTCCCGCGTCCCCAGTCAGCTCGCCCTCTGAGTCGTCGGGTGTCGGTGCTCTCGTGTGTTCTCCGAGTCCTTCTTCACCAGCTGTTCCTCTGCTGACTCCGGACCTTTCTGGCTCTCAAGGGCAGGGCCAAGAGTGACCGCCATGTGGCATGTTTTCCCAGAGGTTTCTCCATGCCGGGATGGTTCACCCACATCTCCGGGCGGGCCTATTGTGTCTGTGCTTCTCTGTGGCATGGCAGTTCTGAACTGCGCAGCGTCAGCCTACCCGAGGGCTGGTGTACATCTCCGCAAAGCTCTTCGGGTGCTTGCTCTCTGCCTTTCCGGGCGCCAGCCTTGCGGCCGCCCAGGTAGAACACCTGCAAGGCGGGGCTTCACCACCCGCGCGGCCTAGAAAATATTATATACAATAAAAACTATTGATTGAAGTCTTCTCTAAATAGTTATGTAAAACAAATATGTTGAGAATTTTTCCCTATTGCAGTACTTTAATCCAAGTATACTTTTCTTCACCTCCATTGCTGGTCAGCATATTTGATGACTACTATTGGTGTGCCCTAATCCAACCACCCCTGTTGCATGCTTTCTTTGCATAAGGACCTGGGTGACTTAAAAGAAAAAAAACGATATAGCATCCAGTCTTCTTTGAATGATGTTACTAGGGTGAACCAGATGATACTGCTGATACTTGACGAATTTTTATTTGCAAACAAGTGTTATTTGATTTTACCTAATAGTTGAAGAGCAAGATGGATTCTAGGGCAACATAAGTAACTATACATAATACTAAATTATGTGTTGTAGTCCATACATTAAATGATATACGAGTTTGAAGGAGTAAAGCATTACCTTGGCTCAGGATGTTTAGAAAATCTTCATAGAATAGATCACTAGTTATAATCCCTAATCAGCCTGGGAAGATTAGTAGATGAGCTGTCTTCATGTAGGATCTGTATTGTGATTATGTGAGTTTTTATTTGACTACTTGTGTTTTAATCTTTTGGGCCCCCATTTCTTCTTTATACACTTTATTGTAGCAGGAGACACATAACATAGAACTTACCATCTTAACCATTACATACTTCCATCATGTTAAATGTAGTCACATCGCTGTGAAACAGGTCCCCAGAACTTCATCTTACAAAAATGACCTGGTATATCCATTAAAAAGCAACTTCCCTATTCCCTTTCTGTCCATCTCCAAAATTTTGTTCATCTTCCCAAACTAGAACTCCTTAACCATTAAACAGTAACTCCTCATTTCTCACCTCCCAAGCCCCTGGCAACTGCCATTCTACTTTCTGCTTCTGTGAGTTTAGCTACTCTAGGTAACTCATATAAGTGGAATCATGTAGTGTGTCTTTTTGTGACTGGCTTATTTCATTTAACTTACCATCTTCATATTTATCTTTGTAGCATGTAACAAGATTCCTTTCATTTTTAAGACTAATTATTTTGTTATATGTGTATGCCACATTTTGTTTATCCACCCATCCACTGAAAGACACTTGAGTTACTGCCTTGCTTTAGCTGTTGTGAATGGTACAGCTGTGAACATGGGTGTACAAATACCTCTTAAAGACCTGCTTTGAGTTTTTTTAGGTATCACCACTAATGGGATTGGTAGGTCATATGGTACTGTTTTTAGTTTTTTGACAAATTTCTTCATGTAGAATTTTTGACAGATTTCATTGCTGTTGTTCCTGCTAACCTGTATCTGTGAGCATTTGTTTAATATGATGAACTTTCATGATTAATCTAGATTTCTCTTTTATGTAGGGCTCATGCAGAATCTCCATCATGTGTAAACAACTTAAAGACTGACATTGGCGATAAAGGGAAGAATAAAGATGAAGGAGAAGTTTGCAATCATGAAAAAAAAGCTGCAGATACTGGTCTTGAGCCTTATCCAGAAGAAAAGAAGAAGAAATGCTCTGGATTCAGAGACAGAAAAGTATGGAACAAAATCTTATGAATTAATCAGAATGGTATCCTAAAGTAGAGTAATGCAGTTCACTTTCTTTTATTATGTATTTCAGATGGCTCGTATTCACTTCTAAATTATTTGCCTCTTTGCTATTTCCTATCATGTTGTAACCAAAGGTACTCCTGAATGTGCAGTCAATGGGGGTAATAAACGTGCAGGGTTAGTAACGAGGATTAGCATATTCTTTCTTAGTTCCACTGCCTACAGCAATTCTTGCTTTTTAGATCTTCTCTCTCTCTCTCTCTTTTTTTTTTTATACCAGGAATTGAACTTAGGACCTCGTTTTTTTTTTGTTTGTTTGTTTTGGTTTTTTTTTTTGGTACCAGGAATTGAACTTAGGACCTGGTACTTGCCGGACAAGCGCTATGCTGCTGAGCTATATCCCTGGCCCTAGATCTTCTCAATACCTTACATTATTATAAATATGCTGAATCTTTGTAGTAATTCTGTTATATAATGTCAGATTATAAAAGGAGTATAAAATATCCTTGGAAACATAATTTCCAGAAAATGGAGTAACTTTGAGGATAGAAAAAGCTTCAAATGACTGTTCTATTCCATATAATTAACATAGCCTGTTGGTATATGGCTTTACCTCAGAAAAGTTTCACTTCCACAGTAATAATGCCTGTGTTCTTAGGCATTTAGGTTCAGCAGCCATAAGTAGTAAACAAGCAAAAGAACAGTTGCTTAGATATTAGAGTATTTACATTAACATTCAGGCAGTGGCCTTCACCTGCTAAGCTGTAGCCTAATATTGCAACAAAATGATTTGAATTGTTTCTTTGTTGTGTTACATTGTATTTATTTGCAAGAGTTCCTCTGGGAAATTTACATCTTTCTGGTTGTACATTTAGATGAAGTTATTAAATATGTCTTCTTCATTCTTAAATCCATTTCTGATTGAAGTGAATTGTTACATATCACAATTAAATCATCAAGTGTCCTACCTTTTCTGTAGCCGTTTATTTATTCTTTTTCCCTGAGTGAACTCAAACAAAGTTCATTACATCAAAGAAAGTGTACCCTGTGTTAGCAGTTCCATTTACCGTCATATTTTCCTTTTACAAAGTAGAGTTAAAATGACTAAGTTAACATTGTTTTAACCTGCTTGTATTTTCTTCTCCTGGTTTCTCCTTAGCAGTTGACCAGTCACATATTTCACAGAAAAAAATTAAATTATTGGGGCGGTTTACTTAACCTCTAAACCCCAAAGCTACAAAACCTATTTAATCTATATCTGAAATAATTCCTATTGCATTCACTAAAGTCTCAAAGGAAGAGCTCTCTTTTCCCTGTTCAGGGATAATCATTCACATGTCATTGTCTACTCAGAATCTGTTTCATCACCTACTCTGTCTCTGTTTTATTCTTTCAGTTATTCTTTGTATCTTCATTGTTTTACATAATCTATATAAATATATTAAGGATTCTTCATATTAAGATTCTTCTATCTGTAATTCTTTAAAAAATTTTTACTAGTGCCTGTTAATATTACATAATGGTGGGATTTGTTTTGGAAAGTTGCTACCTGCATTTAACATGCATTAATTAATATCTTAATCGGTTTTAATTCATTACCCCCATCTTCTTTTCTTCTTCCTCCCCTGACCCCCTTCCTCTTTGCAGAAGTCTACCTTCTGGTTTCCTGTCACTTTTCTTTTATGTGTATGTTCATCTATGTCTATATGTACATACTTTTTAGGATTCTCATCATATAGGAGAAAACATCTGCTATTTAACTTCCTGAGTCTGGATAATTTCACTTAACATGGTTTCTCATTCCACCCATTTTTTAGCCAATGAAACAATTCTCATTGTTGTCACTCAGCAGTTTCAATGTCTCTGATTTTATATCTAGATCTTTTTTATTTGATTTTAGTACAGGGTGAGAGATTGAGATCTAGTTTCAGTGTTCTGAAAGTGGATGTCCAGTTTTCCCAGTGCCATTTGTTTAAGATGCTGTCTTCTCTCCAGCATGTTTTTGGCCCCTTTGTCAAAAATTAGATGTCTGTAGGTGCTTGGGTTTGTTTCTGTGTCTTCTGTTGGTCTACATTTCTGTTTTTGTGCCAGTAGCATGTTGTTTTTATTTCTCTGGCTTTATAATATAGCTTGAAATCTGGCTTAGCATTATTCTTTTTTGCTTATACTTGCTTTGGCTATTCTGGGTCTTTTCTGACTCCAGGTGAAATTTGGGGTTGCTTTTTCTAGTTCTGTGATAAGTTTTACATAACATCCAGTAGCCTATATAAGTTCAAGTGTTTGATCCATTTTTCAAAGAAACCACCTCTCAAAACGCTCTTCGTATGTGTTTCATGGATGAATTAAAACATCCTTATTTCTTTTTTAAATAAAGCTATAAATTAAAAATACTTTAAATGCAATCAGTATGCTAAATCCTTCTAGATTTTTTTACTTTTCTTTCTTCTCATGCAGTTATTTGCCCAGCCCTAAATAGATAACAAAGTTTTAAGCTTCTGCAAAGCGCTGTACCTCTCTATGTTTAATTAAAGGACATTAGTTGGGAAAGAACATTGGAAACCACTGCTCATCTCTTGGTCATCACCCTCTTTAACTGGTGGAATAAACATGTGGTGTTACTAGAAAGCGGTAGCCTACTAACTCCAAGCATTGAGCTTGCCAGGTATCAAGCAAATATTTACAGAAGGAAGGAATTAAACTAATAACTGTCTTTAACTCTGTTCAACAGAAGCTTGGATAAGAAAACTTCTGTGTTATTTTCTTTTTTTTTTTTTTTTTTTTTTCTCCGGTACCGAACCGAACTCATGACCTTGCTCTTGCCAGGCAGGCGCTTTGCCGCTGAGCTAAATCCCCATCCCCTCTGTGTTATTTTCTTATGGAATCGTTTAAAGAATATTACAGTAACTGGTTTCCTAAAGATTGGCAAAACCTATGAAAACGTTGGGAGCTGGTTGTTGTTAGAGTACTGCACTGACGGAACTACTTAATTCACTTGCATTTTCCATTATATTCTAGAGGTAATTGCTGGTGGACCAAGTAATCTCAGAGTTACTTGATTTTATTCTTAGCTAAAGTCAATTTCTTGTTTTGTTTTAGTTAATTTAAAATTGTTTTTTGAGATGGAGGCTTGCTAAACTGTTCAAACTAGCCTCAATTTCATGATCCTCCTAACTCAGCTTCCCAAGTAGCTGGGATTACAGTTATGTGCCAGCATACCTACCTTCTGCAGTCAATTTTTATCTTGTAATTATAATTTCATTTTATTGTTACTCTTTTTTCTTTTTCTTTTCTCTCTCTTTTTTTTTTTTTTTTTGGTCTTTTTTGAGATAGGTTTTTGCTGTGCACTTCAGGCTGACACTGAACTCAAAAACATCCTCATTTCTTACACAATGACCTCTTACTATTCAGTTCTTTCTTATTTAGCTGAATCTTGCCTGTAACTTTATCCATGATTCTTCTTTTGCTATTCAATATCACAGAGACTGTCTGAATTTTTTTTTTATTTTAAAAAGAACAAAAACAAATTAACAAACACAAAGACATAAACCAGCATAAAAACAATAAAAACAATACAGAATCTCAGACAAATGTCTGAATTTTTAAAAAATTATTTAACTCTATAATAAACCATAGATATAGGAAACCATAAAATAATTTTAATTTTTTAACATATTATGTTATTGGAGTGATACGTAATAATTATATTCATTTTGTGAAATTGCTACATACATATATTGTACCATTTTTGGTACTCTTTTCTCCTCCTCCCTACCCATCCTCTCCCAACTTCCTTTGATTCCCTTTCTCATCTCCAAGAAGGTTATTTTCCTGCTCCCTACTCTTTTATTTAATTCTTTAATTTATTTACATATTAGGTTTCTCATAAAAGAGAGACTGCATGATAATCTTCTGTGACTGACTTGTTTCACTTAACCTCATGGTCCAAAGTCTGTCCATTTTTCTTCAGATCACTTGAATTTGTCTTTCTTTTTGGCTAAATAATACCGCATACTGGAGTTTTATAGTAATCATGTCCTTTTGGGGGGTAGGTTATGATTTTATGTGCGTAAATCTCAACAGTATATATTTCACCCAATTTAGTAGCCAGTTCTTTAGCCATTGTCTTTTTCAGCTTGGCAATGTGAGGCATGGATTTTGGGCCCAGGTCATTGCTTCCCAGAGACAGCAGAGCTCATTTTACCTCTTGTAATTTGTTCTAATAGTTTCCCCCAGCTAAGCCAGAGTTAACCTGGGCAAAGGCAGTGGTAATACTGATCTTCCTATGCACCAGACATCCCAGCCTGGGCCCTCTTCTCATAGATTAGCGAATCCCCACTTGAGTGATACAGAGTTGGCGGGAAGACAGGCAAGTGACGAAGATCCGTGTCATATGCAGCCATCCTCAGCTGAGCCTTCTTGTTCTTCACCAAGGCGATGACAGTATTAACCCTGCTTGAAGAATGAGTGACTTCTTATTGATGACATCCATTTTGGTGGCAGCTTTCTTTTTTCAGGCCAACATTCTCTGCCTCTCCTCTTACTTTGTCTCTGATCTGTACTTGTGGGCAGCTTAATGAGCTGTTTGACAGTCCATGACATGAGTGAACAGGTTAATTGCAGGAGGTACTTTAAATCCCTTAAACATAGCCCTTTGCCACTACAACTGGATATGGCGGAGCCAGTGAAGTCCCTTTTGGACTGGATGTCCTGTTCCATGCCAAAATTGTTAGGCCTTTTCTCAAACAAGAGATTTATCAGTGTGGTCTCTAGCTTCTTTATGACAGCAAAGCTGGTAAGGAAACCATCCCCTTCTCCTTGGCCTTCTTTCCTTTCAGTATGTGGGAGGCTGGAAGAGAGAGGGCTCTCCTTACCTTTTCTGCCCAGATGTCTATCCCTAGACATACATAGCTTAGTATTGCCTGTTTTGATTGTTTTATTTCCTTTCGGTTGGTGCTGGGGATTAAATCCAGGGCCTCAGGCTCAACACATGCACTCTACCATTGAGCCGTACCCTCCAGCCTGATGATATGTCTTTTAATTCTATTATTGTGTAGGTGACAGAATCCAGGCCATTTAACCTTTAAAAATTGTCTGTGGTCTGGATGTTATTGATGATTATTCTCAGTGCCAATCAGTATATTCTTCTGTTGTTCATGTTACCTCAGTATTGGCAGCCAGGTTTGATCCCTGTGGCAAGACTAGATGTAATATTTTCTTTTCATCAGGAAGCAGCTAATGTCTAGTTACTTTTTTGTTTGTCATATTAGTAACTATGGATATTTAGTGCCTAGGTCTGTTCATTCATTGTGCTTGCTTAAAATGTTGGTATTTGAGTATTACAAAATTTTAATTTTTTAATGGAAATATCTTATAAAGAGATATTATTCTTCATCTGCTATTTTTGGTTGCAAATACTATTTGGCTACTCATTGGTGCAGTTCACATAGGAAAAATAATGCCTGAATTTGATCCATTTAAGTTTGGCAGTTTTATTGAGGACAAGTGTCTTAATATCCATAGTGATTCTTAAGAAAGTTTGATAAGTAATTGAATGAACTATCTTAATTCTTAGTAAATCTTTTCTCTTAACATCCCTAAATCCTTCAGCAGTTTGTCTGCTTTAAACCTTTGTTATCTTGGGTGCTATTACATTTCATTTAGTTGCTTAAAAGGAGCCAGCTCCGTGTCATTAGGTATGGGATGATCTTCAAGGTATAATGTGAAACATTAAAAAAAAGTAAATATATACTATGTGATATGTATATACCAAATTCTGCCAGTATGGGAGTACCTCTTATGTTCCTTGGCCTACTGTTTGAAAGTAAATCTTTATAGCTGTGTAAAGCCCACTGTTTTATATTAACTTTATGTGAGGGCTAAATTGTGATCAAATGAATAATACATAGCAACATAGTTTAGCAACTATTATAAAAATTGAGGAATCTGACTTTCATTCTTAAAATCCTTGATTTTTATGCTATTACCTTTCAACTTTGTATGATTGATTTTTTAGTTCACAAAGCCCTCTTTGTCAGTAGGTACCATTTATATATCTTTCCATTCCAACCTCAAGCTCTATCTCTCAATCTCTGTCTCTTTCTCTCTGGTTGTTTTTTTGTTTGTTTGTTTTGTTGTTTTTGTTTTGTTTTGTTTTTGAGACAGGCTCACTGCATAGCTCACACTGGCCTTGAATACACTATATAGCTAGCTTTGAACTCACAGTGATCCTCCTGCTTCAGCCTCCTGAGACCTGGGATTACATGTGTGCACCACCATGCCTAGCTGGTGGTTGTTATTGTTTAGAGGAAATACAAGAATACAAGTGACTTAGAAATATATTTCTTCCATAGCCAGTATTACCTTGAAGATAGTCATAGCTTAATACAAAATGCCTTTGATGTAATACTTACAGCTCAGTCTCAAGGCTGCTGAAGGGTTGAAAAGCTCCTTGTTGTGTTTGCCACATGCTCAATCTTTTGATAAGGTCTCCTTTGAAATCAGTTCAGATTTTAATGCAAGTTAGCCATGAATTCTTGTCACGTGTAGTTATAAATGAGGACTCCTTTCTCAGTTGCTAAACACACATCTGGTATTGGAATTAAGACTATTGCAAAACAGCTACTGCCAGTGACCTCGGAGTGACATCTAGCAAGGACTGGCAGTTACAATAATTTCTGTGTTAATGTGGCAAATCAAAAACATTAATAATTTTAAAAATATTAGTTTCTTTTTAAACATAGGGCCAATGAGGTTTTAGGTTTGATTGCCATGATAGATTTTCTAGCTAGTTATTTATAAGATATATTTGTTATTGGCTATCTCAACATAAAATTCAAGTATAAGAGGAATTTTCACCAAAATATTATGTGATTGGCATCATACTTTATGTTGCATGCTCAGAATGGGGACTTCTGTATCAGACAAGGGTCTGAGTAATCATACTAACATGACATACTTTTACTAAATATATTTCATACCTGACTTGTTGCTCTTCAGACATTTTCCTGTGTATTTTCCAACTCCATTCTCTTCTAAATATGCTGTATGTAAAGAATTTCTGGCAGTTTATTTTTTAGTCTAAAGTCTTGCTTCAGACCTAGTAATAATTGAGTTTCCATGATATATATTTTTATTCTTCTGTGCCATCATTTAATGTACTTTGTGTTTGAAGGCGTTTGAAGGCCTGCTGACTACTCAAACTTATGAAACCTCAAGTCTCTTTTGTTTTAGGATTCAGGAAATTGAACAGAACTAAGAACTGTAAAGCTAATCCCTTTTAAAAGGTGATATTTAAAAACTGTTAGCTACTCTTTTTACTTACCATTGTACCTCGTTATGGAGACCTTCTAAATTCTCTTAATGACATTTTTCAATTTTGCTAGCTTTTAATTATTTAAGAAATTAGAAGCTAAGTGACTTGTTCGTGCCTGTATTGCCTGTTCCAGCAAAAAAAGGCAGGAAGGAAGGGAAGGAAGGGGAAGAAAGAGGAGAGGAGGGGAAGAAGAGAAGAGGAGGGGAGGGAAGAAAAGGAAACGGAAAAGGAATTAGAATTCTTCAAGAAAGAAGTCCTATACAAAATTATATCAGCATTGTACCAGTTGGAGTATAAATGGCATATTGCAAGAAAGAAAATTCAAAAAATTTTTGAAGTTTGTAGTATAAAAATCCAATTATAGAAAAGATACAAATGAAAAATATATGACATGAAAAATGTATGAGAACTGATGAGTGTTGAGAGTGTACAAGCATTGCTTAATATAGTAACACTCTTCAAATTTCTAATTTTAGGTGATGGAATATGAGAACAGGATTCGAGCCTACTCCACACCCGACAAAATCTTCCGATATTTTGCCACCTTGAAAATAATCAATGAGCCTGGTGAAACAGAAGTGTTTATGACTCCACAAGATTTTGTGCGATCCATTACACCCAATGAAAAACAACCAGAACGTAAGGAGCTAAAGTGAAAAATAAGAGAGTGTTACAGGCCTCTTTGCTTCTTTCCATGTGTTGCCTGAATCGTATTGGCCCATACAGTAATTTCACTCACTGTGTCACTTTTGATTTTTAGGCATTGTGCTGAGCCATAGTAGTACAAATGGGAGCCTGCCGTCAGGCCAGTGTGGCAAGGGTCAGGGGGATTCCAGAGATTGAGCCGCTGTGGGTGAAATTCAGCACTGGTAGTGAGAGTGTTCCTGGGGGCAACACAGTGTACTTGTGACTACTGCAAGGTTAGTTCTTTCCTAAGAACGTTCTTTCTTAGGAAAGAACTAACCTTGCAGTAGAATTGCAGTAATAGGTAATTTCAGACAGTAATAGGTAATTTCAGGAATGTGGAATTTATAAAAGAACATTATACAGAAGTCCTGTGGAAGTAAAAAAAGGATACATGTAGCTCAGTTTGGAAGTTTGGAGAATGCTTTCTAGACAGTATGTCTACCTTTCAATAAAATATAGGCAGGCAAAGACCTATGGAAAGGGCATCTTATTTAGAAGAAACAGCCTGAACAAACAAGGTTTGTGGACAGGAAATACATGGCTTCAAGTTAAATGTAACCATTTAACAGTGTATTTGCAAGGAAAAATGATGGAGGAGGGAGCTCCAAACTTCAAATCTTCCGCTGAAGTAACCATTAAGCTGACAAAACAGACCAGAATCAAATGTTTTAGAGCTCTCCAATCTAATTAGCATACAACCAGGGCAATGCTTCATAGAAAAAGAGTCTCCTAAATTCTGGCGAATGGTACTTTTGCCTACTGTGCCCTATTTCCCAGCTCAGCAGCAGCCATCTGGTCAGCAGCTACAATGCTGGTTGGCTCACTGTTTGGGAGGCAGGGCTGTGGAAAAAGGGAGGTGGGCAGTACTGACCTTGTTCTCAGAAATGATGGTTGTACAACTTGACTTTTCTAGCGTTAACTAGTGCGAAGGCTTGCCCTTACTTCATCTATCTAGGGGTTTTTAGTAGCCTCTCCTGGGTCATCTACCAAAAATAATTTAAAGACATGCAGTATACCACTATAGTCACCCAGGCCAGGGGACAGCAGATAGGACAAGCAAGAGACAGATTAAAAGGCCCTGGAAGGGTGAGCATAGGAAGGACATTTGGAGGAATTTTTATTCGTTTTTTTCGCGAGCACAAATCCACTTTATTTGCTTTCATGAGTCTAAATACTTGAAGAGTACAGCGTCATGCAGATTATGCACCAGTGGCCTTACAGGAAGGTTGCTTCAGGGTTTGACATGAACCACAGTGCTGTTTTCTATGCACACAAGTTACCTTTCCCCATATTACTCTGGTTTTGCTTGGTTTATGAGCAGGAAATCATTGTGTTAGTTTTGCTTTGTACACGTAAGTATCTCTCTTGTGCAGATAGAATTCAGTTCCATCTCCAGCATGAGCACCTTCCATTTTAAGAAGAGATGTGTGTCCCCTCTGGTTCCAGAGACCCTGCTTATGGTCAGCAAAAAAATGGCCTGTTCCACAACCTTCCAGACACATTTGTGTTTTAGAAATCCTGGTCCCAGCAGGATTCTACAGGCTGTGAGATGGTGGAAGAGTGAGATAGAACTATGGAGCATTATCACACAAACTGAAGAATCCAAGTGTAGCTTGCATACTCTAGACCACATACTTGGTGAAGACTTGAAAGTTACAGCAGAGTTATAGATGGCCAGACTAACCATTGAGTCTGAGCTCAGGGCCAGTCTGCAAACACTGGGGGAAGTTCATTTGTTTTCCATTCTTTTTGGCTCCAGAATTTAAGGAAATCTGTATCAGTTGACTTGCTTACTCCTTACATAATAGATCAACAGTGCAGATGACACGTGGCAAGGAATACACTGATTTGGAAAAGTCACTAAGCCAGGCATAGTGGCACAGGCCTGTGATCCTAGCTACTCAGAAGACTGAGACAGAAGGAACACAAGTTTGAGGCCAGCCTGGGCAACTTAGTGAGATTCAGTCTAAAAATAAATTTTTTTAAAAGGGCTCAGTAATAGAGCACTTGCCTAGAATATGCAAGGCCCTGGATTTAATTCCCAGTTTCAGCAAGTCAAAATAAAACACATGTGACTACCGTCTTCAATAAGCAGCCACACCAAACCCGAGAGTAGGCTAATATTCAAAATGTCCAGTTTTTAATAAAATACACAATATAATATTCAAAATACTCAGTTTTTAATAAGGCAATAAGTGGCATATCAATAAGCAAGAACTTTGAAATATTAATAGAATAGGAACAAAAAAATATGACAGAAGCCATCCCTGAGGGTAGGATACCATGCAGTTAGTAGCACACACATAATAAAAGTTCCAGAAGGAGAAACTACAACATTCCCAGATAAACAGAAGCTTAGGTAGTTTTTTGCTTATTGACATTACTTACATGAAAAGCTAAAGAAAGTGCTTTAGGTTAAAATAAAAAGATACTGGATAATTGTGTAACTTGAAGTTACATAAAGAAGTATAAAATATTAAACACCAGTGACAATAACTTCATAAGTAAGTATAAGAGCCATTACAGGATAAGGATGCCTAATCTAAAATCTATAATCCAGAATGCTCCAAAGCAACCCTTTTTTTGAGTACAAGCATAATGTCATAAATGGAATATTCCACCATTGACCTGTGTCTCATAATCAAAATGCAGATGCACTAAAAATACTGTATGAAATTACCTTCAGGCTATGTGTACAAGGTATATAAAAGCATAAGTGAATTTGATGTGTGTGATGCCCATACTGTACTTCCACTGTGCTCAGTGACGAATTCTGATACACAAGCTATGATTTCTTAGGTCGTTGGAGGGGAATTGAGCCTGACTGTCCACAGTGGTAATCATCTCAGTGAAATGCCCTTTAGTTAGCTTTCCCTCATCCCACTTCACTTTCCTCAGTCCTTCTTCACTGATCCCCTGCTTTTAAGAAATCTAAGCTAGTGGGGCTGGGGATTTAGCTCAGCGGCAAAAG